TTTCGACTTCAATTTTTTATCTTTAATAATATTAAGTAATTATTATATTTTTATTTTTAAATTAATTTATCATAAAACAATATAATAGTTTAGCAAACAAAATTTGCTAATTAGACAAAATGATCAAAGTTTTTTTTTCATTTAAAAATAGGACAGTAATTGGTATACCCTCCGGTACAACACCCTCTGGTTTAGTCATTAAAATATCACTATTTTTTAGTCTGAAATTAAAAATAGACAAGTATAATGATACAATCATGCACACAAGACACAAGAATCTACTAAATTGACTATATTTATATTATATTTTTAATGATTAAACCAAAGGATGTTGAACCAGAGGATGTACCAATTATTTCTCTTAAAAATGAGTGCGATTACACTATTATAATATATTTTATTTATTTATTTTCTTATTATTATTTGTATAAAATTAATAATTTTAATAAAAAATATATAAAAAGAAAAAATTACATTTAATTATTTTTAAAGATATCCTTATTAATCATTTAACGTCGAATAATAACTGTTAACTATTATATAACCAAATAATTGTGTCAGTTGCATCTACCATCTATTACTTTTACTTGTTTTTCACTATTTGTCACTTGCTATCTACTAATTACCATCCACCAGTTGTTATCACTATTTACTATCTATTACTTCTTTCTAGTCACTTGCTAAATTTTAACCACTATACTAAAGGCCAATAAGTCACAAGCAAGAGGTACTTCTAGTATTCTGAGCTCCATTTCCGTGAGTTTACAAAGAACTTTATTAACCACCTTCGGACGATCAAGTTTTCGAACTATTTTGCCCATATCATCTCCTAAAATGTTGAGACTTGAGGCTAAAACAAGTAAAATTTTGATAAATTTAATTAGGGCATTGATGGTTATACATTTCAATTTAATTCACTACATAATATATTTATTAAAAAATTATTATTTTTAATCTAAAATTAAAAAATAAACAAATTTAAATATATAATTATATATTTAAATGCAAGAATCGAATAAATAGATCTATTATATTTATATTATATTTTTAGTGACTGAATTAGACAAATATCAAAAAAATATGTCAAATATAATGTTTCAATTATTTTCTATCTCGTTATGGTGGTTCTATCCCACTTTACCTCTTCATTAATTGTAAATCAAAATTGCATCTGAAGTTAGTGAAAATGCTCCAGCAAAATCTATCAGAAATGCATCTAAAACTTATTTATGTAAGTGTTTATCCTGTGCTTGTAATAGGAATTTTTTTTTCATTAATTTTTATAAAAAAAATACAAAATCAAACCTCACTTTTAACACACTATTTTAATTAGGTGGTTGATAAAATTAAATATTAATTTTTATCTTTTATAATAATTAATGAAAAAATATACAATTAATATATTCTTAACTACAAAATTAAAAAGTTTTTTATTTATTAGGGATAATTGTTTCATTAAATGTTTCATACACCTTCATCTTTGAAAACCAAAAAAATTAAAAATTAAAAATTAAAAAAAAAAAAGCTCTAAAAACTTAAATTTCGGAACACAATGAGATTTGTTTCCACCTTCCTCCAACGACACCCAAACTATTTTTTAGCTGCTCTCTCATTTAAGGGCTCTTTGGTATAGTCATTTGAAACAAGCAGATAGAGATTAGGAGACAATAAGTAACAAATAATGGTAATAGACAATAGGCAAAAATTATGAGAATAAATTTTTATTAAAAAAGATTAAAATACTTTATTTTTAAAGTATGAATTAGAATGTTTTTTGTCTTTCCCGGTAATATTTTATTAAAACTACACAATTTTGAAATAATTTTTCTTTTAATTTTTAGGAGATAAGACGGATAAATATTAATTCAAAAAAAATATAAATTTTAATGGTTATTTGATTATATAATATTTATTTGTTACCGTTCGATATCAAATGACAGGTAAGATAAATTTAAAAAGTGATTAATTCATTTTTTAATTCTTTACCACTAAAAGATTTATATTATTTTTTTATTAACTTCCTGATATATAAAAGCATAAATTTTAATAGTTATTTAGTTATATAATATTTATTTATTACTGTTCAACATCAAATGACAAGGTAAGATAAATTTAAAAAGTGATTAATTCATTTTTTAATTCTTTACCACTAAAAGATTTATATTATTTTTTTATTAACTTCCTGAAATATGAAAGTCACACTGAGATTTGGCTAATTCGAAATCAAATAGCATTACAACCTGTACAAGAAAAAAGCTCTTCTAATACATATTTTTTCATTTATAAGATTCAAATTTAAATAAAGAGAATCAAGTTTTTTCCACTCAAACCAATAAGTAATTGGTAAAATTTTATTATTATTATTGTTGTCGTTATTATTGTCATTGTTTTTTTGCTGTTATTGTTATTATTATACATTTACAAATGAAACAGTTATTTGCTATTTTTAATAAAAATTAATTTTAAAAATTTAAAAATAAGGCATAAATTATACATTTTTTTACTAATTAATTTTATTGAACCCGTTGAGTACCTCTCAAATTTATGAATTAGGTTTAAGAAAATACAGCCGACAACTCCAAAAATTTATAAATCATGTTAACGAAAAAGTATAGAAAGTAGCAATTTGGGAGAAAATTACTCGTTACTAGACTGGTAGTGGCATCTAGGTTTTTTGGCTCTCAAGAAGCAAAGAAGGTTGTGGATGAGAGGAGAGAAGTCACGTTCAAAACTATCTTTTATACCTAATTATTTTTTGATTAATTTATTTTAATAATTTAAAATGTTTAATCAACTAGTGGATTAGGTAAAAATTTATTTTTAAGAGATTTTTTAATCTGTCAGTGAATTACACTCTAATTACTAATTGTTACTATCAAACTACTACATAAAAATTTTTATCAAACATTAATTATATAATAATTTGTGGAGAAAAACAATTAACAAATATTTTTATATAAGGGTTTGGAGGAAATCACTAATCTTAAATTCCTATATCAAAAGGTCCCTTAGTTGTTTGGTTAATTCAATTTCAATTTCATGCCATTCGTATTTCAAATTTCATGGTATATAAGAAATGATCATTAATAATGCAACACATTCAAAGGCTATTATGAGCAATCAAAACCAATGCAAACAGGAAAAAAATCAAATAGTTAAGGAAACAAACCAAGGCAACTGCTAGCTCATATATATACAGGGAAATGAAATTAAAGGTGAAAGGCTAGCTAGCAGAATCAACGGCGTGCAACTATTAGAAAAACAAGACAAAATCTAGAAAGTCAAATATCAGTAACGGCTAGTATAGTTAATTTGAGACTATAAATCCTTTTCTTGTGTTCTTTTGTATACATCTATATATAAAATCTCATGCAATACATACCACTCTTAACATTGAAAAAGTGTGGGTAATTCTATAAAAGTGTTTCATAAACCTTCTTAATCATAACAACCTCACTTTAGAACAAAGTAATCACTACTGTTGCATCATCATGGTTATCTGGTTGAAAGAAGGAAAATGAAAAAAAAAAAATAGATTAAGAAATAAGATTAACAATGGGAAAACAGAGAATATGTCTTTGCTTCTAATGCCAATTAGTAAAGGCCTTTACTCTATTCCCTATAGGAATAGCCCCTCGGCTCTTTTCTTCCGCTCTAATTGTTACTGTGATATTTGAGTTCTTGAAACCTGATCAAAATCTAACAATGATAAATTGTTGGATTACTTAAGGTGAGGAGATCATCGGACTTTGGCCAAAGACGAGGGGGTTTTGATCCATAAGATGGCAACTTGATCGGGAATAAGGAAGATCTAGTACTTGCCCGCTAAAAAGTGAAGGAGAACAGATGAGAAAGGAATGGGAGAAGGATTTATGAAGAATGACATGTTGGAGGAAAATATCTCAAACTTTAAGTTTTTAAAGTTTTTTTTTTTTTTTCGATGAAGAAGGAAGGGTATATGAGATATGAATGAAATGGTTATTACAAATAAGTAAATTTTTGATACATTTATAAAAGATTTTGCTTGAATTTTTTCACTTTTTTGAGATGTAATTTAGAATCTCCACCAAATAAAGAGACAAAGTGAAAGGGAACCACTATAAAATTTGGAATGAAGGCTTAAGATAGATAAAAAAGAGAGTAATGTCTAGATGCATATATATTAAGCTTGCACAAAAATAGTCTCACTGTCAACCAAAAAAATAATTTGTAAGCAAATACCGACCTGGCCGGGACCTTGTCGATATTCGGTAGTGGTAAGCGTCGGATATGTCCACGAGCGCATTTGTATTTGGTAAAAATTAAAAAATATTTGTGTTAAAATATTATTTTTTTTATAAATTTAAAATTTTATTAGAGAAAAATATTTAAAAATTAATATTTTAAGTGAATTTTAAGTAAATTTTTAAAATATTATACATTTGAGTTTTTTCAAATTTTAATTTTTTTCAAAGTTTACTTAAAATCATTTTAAAAGAGAATTTTTGAACTTTCCTTTGATAAAATTTTAAACTTGCAAGAGATAAATAGTATTTTTAAAGCAAATAATTTTAAAATTTTGCCAAACAACCTCTATATCTAATATTTTTGGACAATTGACATGTTTAGGTAGATACGTTATTTTTGTTATTTAATAAAAAATAGTTAAATATTGAATATAAAAATTAATAATATTATAATTGCAATATCACATAAAAGTATAAATTACAATAATAATATAACATTAAACAAATAAATATATACAATATCACCGATAGACCTCTAACTAAAATAAATCAATTAAATAATAATACATCATATATATTATATAATTACAATATCATATGACATTATAATTATAACAGTTTTATATAAAAGTACATACTATCTATCAAATATCATGTATAAAAGTCCATACCTATGTACTTGAGTCTATATAAACTAATGTATTTTGTTCTATGTATAAATTTATGTATAAATTCATATATTGTATTATATAAATGAACTTGTTTATTTACTATCTATAAAATTAAGTATATGTTTTAATTATTTTTTAATTTGTATAAAAAATAATAATATTTAACATTGGTTCCAATATCTAAGTGAGTTGGACAACTGGTATAGATTTTCAGTAAGTACAACGTATTAAAACTTATGAACTATAAATTTTCAAGTCAAAATTATAAATATGACCAAATTATATCTGATGATTTAATAGTCTAGAGTTAATCTCTTTTTCATAGGAGTAAATGGTTTTATATTTGGAATCGCATGAGCGTAGACTGAGTTAATAAAAAAAAATCTCTCTTCATAAAAAATAAAAAATAAAATAAAATTAAAAACCTCATATCCATATCAGCTCAACATTTTCGGTTTGTTTCTAGAGAACTTGTTCCTGGCCCATCAGACAAAAGGGTCCAACATAGGGAAAAGCCCAATTAGCAATGAACTGGCAAAGGGACACAGCATGATATGAGGCAGCACAGCAGAACACCGACTCTTGTATGCAGACCAACCTCAGCGGTCAGGGAATATGTAGCAGAATATCTGATCCCAAATATCCCTCTATTTTCAACCTCTTTTTTTTTTTTTTTTCAGAATATCTGATCCCAAATATCCCTCTATTTTCAACCTCTTTTTTTTTTTTTTTTGAGGGAGCTCTATTTTCAACCTCTTAATTTCGCTTCAACATCACACAATCTCTCTCCTTCCTAACTATGGACCTTAACACCTTCCATCAATCGCCGCCGCTCTTCCTACTACACATCCACCACCGGACACCTTCCCGTTGACATGTCACCACCGCCAACCATCAACGGCTGCCACCGCCACAACAACAAACCCTGCGTATCCAAGCCTCCTGCCGTCCCTGACATTTTCCTCACTGCCTTCTCCCTTCTTTTCCTCTTCTCCTCCCCCAAAGCCCATCAGAATCGTACCCTCCTGCCCAGATGCCTCTCTTCCCCTCCTAAGCATCGCCGCTTTCTCAGAATTTCCACCATGTCCTTGACCAATTCCCACTTCCCCACCCCTCAGGCCCTCTCCGATTGGCTCAAGCCCCGATTGCCTTCCGATTCGTTTGCCTCCTGGGGAGTTAAGCCTGGGACCAAGAACGTTCACAATCTCTGGCTAGAGCTCTCCGAAGGGGAGACGTGTCTTGCCGACTCATCCCCTCCACTCCGTACAGTCAATGTTGTTACTGTTCGCATTATTGGGAAAAACAACCGCTTTTTGGTCGAATCTCGGCAGGAATTGTCTGATGGTAGTGTCAGGGATCGGTTCCGACCCTTGTCCGAGAAAATGAAGCCCGATGAGAACCCTGAAGAGGCTGCTATTCGTGCGGTGAAAGAGGAACTTGGGTCTATAATTAATCTTGGTTTGGAGGATGGTGAGGTGGTAAAGATTGTTCCTGGATCATATCAGAAGAAGATGGAAGAGAGGAATTCGGTTTCTTATCCAGGATTGCCAGCGTGCTACGTGTTGCATTCGCTGGATGCGTGGGTGGAAGGTTTGCCTGAGGGAGAGTTTTGCACTGAAGAAGGGGAGGAGTATAAGGATGCTAATGGGAGCAGGGCTCTGCATAAAGCTGTGACTGTGAGAAAGCATTACTGGAAATGGGTTAGTCCTTCCTGATTCCGTTCGTTCTTGATTTCACCATATTGGCTGTGTAACTCAGCTGAAATTATGAAAATTCTTAGGTTTTATTGGCTTTCGGTTTTTTTTCTTTTTTTTTTTTTTTCTTTTTTGTCATGGTGGCGACAATGTTCTTGTTGTCGACCATGGTTTGGAGCTCTTGAGATGCTAATGAAATAAATAAAAGATCTTGCTATATGCCAGTTCCAGAGTTCTGTGCATTGTGAATATACACTTTTGATATTTGAGTTGTACAATTGTGATTAATGCAAGTTTGAAACTATATTTCTCCAATTTTATTCTGGATTGCATATCTTTCTTCTGTTTCTAATAATGTGGAAAATATATCTTTTCTGGTTTTATGGTCTATAAGTGAATATTAATCAGTAGCGGGGTGTTCTTTGTATTTGATTAATATGTAGGAATTTGTTAAACTGTTATTGAGCAACATGTTAGCACTGAGGTTGTGAATCATCACCAGTAGACTGGTTTATCGTTTGCTTTGAGTTGGGATTGCTGTAGCTGATTTTGCTAGTTAAAGTATATAGCAAGGTTTACAGTCGGAATAGTAAGTATTATTAAGAAAGTGGTTAAGTAGGTTTTTAATTATTACCTTCATGTTCATATGAATGTAAAGCATCAGCTAGAAGGTTAAATTTCAGTTACTTGATTACATATACATAATAGAACTTATGAACAATTTGATTTAGATGCATTAGCAACTTCAAAGAAGCATGTGTAGGTAACATGGTTTTTGTGAGTTCTGGTCTATCCTAACCATGGAGCTTCAAGAGATCTCTAAGAATTCTCTTGTAAAAGTTCTGTTGAGGTTTAGTGTTAAGAACCTGAATTGTCTGCTAATGTTTGGAATTTCTTTTGAACTAACAAGAAGTGGGGTTTGGGAATTATTTTCTTTTAGTCAACTTTTCAGGATGAAAGAATGATTTGAATCATTTGATTGAAGAGTTTAGTGATTCCTTTCACCAACAGCTTCATTTTAAAATCTGCTAGGGTTTTTCCAAATGCCAGAACTGGAGTTGTAATTGAATGGGTCTTGCGTACCCCATTTAGCATTTACATACTTGGATCTTGACTCCATCTTTTGTAGTGATGAGTTGGATCTGGAGCTGTACTTCTTATTAATGTAATTTTTCTTGTTGATCAAAAAGCAAAATAGATTGTTTGGATACGACAAAGACTATTACGCCTGTATTTCATATATAACATATAGAACATTGTGGAACGAAATCCTTGAAAGGGAGAAATTAATTGAGGTTCTTGAACTCTTTTAACTATTTTGCCCACATATTATTGCAAAATTTATTAGGTGAGGTTAGAAGTCACTAGCTTCTGAAATCCTTAAAAAGTTTGACCACTTCAAGGAATGGTTGCTGTTACTCTTTCTATTTCACCTTTTTGAGCTCTATATGGTGATTTTGTCTTCTAGAATACATTTTTCACTGTAGTGTCAATCATCAGTTGAAAAAAGGCTGCCTACAACTTGGCTTTGGACCTTCCTCCTGTGGAAGAGACTAAAAAAAATGCACTTTTCCTGTGCTACTTTTGTTCTCTATTCTTTTTCTCCTCATCACAGGAGTTCAATTGCGTGGATACTTCTTTAGGAAAGTGATTGAAGTTAAAGTTATGAGTTGTAGAGATTATGGTTTATCTTTAGACTTTAATTTAATGTAAAAAGTGCAATGAACACTCATTGTTGTAGATGTTAAATCTAGATCTTTTAAGAATGGTGTAAGAATATAATATGATCAGATTATTGTGCTTCCTAGTTCTGAAACCTGAAAGAGGAAATTAGTGCGTTTAACTAACATAGATTTGAACCTTTGGCCATATCTCCAAAATCAAAATTTTGAAGTTTGTGGTTGCTAATTTGGCTAAATGGGCACCAGAATCAAGCTTCCTGGAATCAATGAATCTGCTCCCCAGAATTGTTAATCTTCTAGCTTGGCCAAAAAAATGGAGAGCTGTAACTTCGATAGCAGACTAGCAGCAAAAGTTTTATTTCAGAAATTAAAATTTTCAACGTCAACTTTTAGAATCGATAACGTTTAGAAGTCTCTTAGAGGACGTTTCAGTAGTTCCACTAGTAAGAACTTGAGTTTTTTTTTTAGAGGTTTTAAATTTAAATTTTAAAGATTGATGAGAAGTGTTATTTTTTTTTTATGTAACT